CGCTTTCACAACGAAACACACAGCGTCTCAACAACATGGCGGCAGCAGCAACAGCGAGAATAAAAATTACGCCGCCTTTCTTTGCGTGAACATTTGGGCGGTGTTATGCAAATCTTCCGAAACAGTGACGTAGACATGTAGGGGCGTGTTAGAACGAGGCATTTTAGGAGGACGTGGACAAGTCTTAACTTTTATAAAGAATATCTCTTTGGATTTGAGACTTTAGTCTTTGCAACTTTACAGATCCTCTTTATGCACCAAGAGCTTGTAACACTCCAAAGAGAAAGGAAAGATTGAAATCGCATCATATGACCCCTTTAATTTGTTTCAGTGGTGCACATCATTTATGCTAAATCAAACATATTGATATTCATCATTATTTCACATAAAAAGAGAACACACAAGTGTTAAGTCGCGGCTGCTCCTTTTATTTGTGATCACAGGAATGCACAAAACAACAAAACTGCTTTCATTGAAGTTCCACAGTGCACAAAATTGTGTTTTGTTTTGACAGTAAGAAAGAAGCCCTAAAAGAAAAGCTGGAAAACTTTTCATCCTGTAATCCAGATGTAAAGAACATCAAGATCCTGGTAGCTGGACAAATTGCAGCAGGAAAGTCCAGCTTTATTAACTCCCTCAATAGCGCCTTTCAAGGACGGATCTCCTCTAGAGCGCTAGTTAGTGGATCTATTGACTCGAGCAGTCATAGTTTCACACAAAAAGTAGGTATCTGTCACCTATAGTTGCATGTTTTTTTTCCAGAAATGTCCCGTTGATCCACTTTTGAGCATTGTAAGCATTTTGGCTAATCATATGAGAATTTTAATTGTTCACAAATATATTTGGTTATGATTTGTAGCTCACAGGATTCACTATCAAATGTGGGAAGAAACCTTTGCCCTTCATCTTCAAGGACATCATGGGCTTAGAACCTAATGTATTGGCTGGGTCCCAACCAGACGACATCATTAATGCTGTGTTTGGCTATGTCAAGGATGGCTATAAGGTAATAAACCACTAAATTAATTGTGAAAATAAAATTTTAACATAAGATTTATATGCCTGACATTTCACATATTTTGCTGAATTTTCAATCTTAGTTCGACGAGAAGGAGCCACTCAATAATAAGGATCAGCATTATACCGGTGACCCCAAGCTCTCCGACCAGTCTTTCTGTCTGGTTTACATCATAGCTGCAGACACAATCCAGTTGGCAGATGATCGACTCATTGACAAGCTGAAGATCATCCGCCAGAGAATAAGTAATAGGGGTAAAACTGACACGTGAATGTTTATGATTTTCATTCATGAGCTCACATACTTTACAGCTTTTCAGCTTGATTATTGTAAGTATATGAAAACCTACAGAATGTATGTGGGTCAGTTATGTAGATACCTTTCAACAAATGCTGCCACAAATTTGCTCAATTTTGTTGACAACAACAACAACAAAAACGTTTTACTGAACCTTTACATTGCATCTGCATTTGCTGTAGGGATTCCTCAAGTGGTTGTCATGACTAAAGTGGATGAAGCATGTCCACTGGTCAAAAATGATTTAACAAAGGTCTACACTAGCAAGAAGATCAAAGAGAAGGTCTGTGATATCCAAAGACATACACGTGTTTCACTTTTACATATTGCACATGTTGATCTGATTTTGTCTAATAGCCATGTATAATTTTCTGACCTCACATTCTGTTCCTGTCCAGATGGATTTGTGCCATGTCAAAACTGGTGTGCCATTGACAAACATCTTCCCAGTGAAGAACTACCATAATGAGATTGATACAGAAGATGACATTGATGTTCTGATACTAAAGGCACTTGAACAGATTGTTCAGATTGCTGATGATAGATTGGATGATAGTGGAATGTACTGAAAATAATGCAGTAACTGACCAAATCCTATCTAATCTTGAATTGTTTGTTTTTCACAACATGCATGTATACAGTGGGGGTATTAGGGGATCTGAAGCAATGTGTACAATCAGAATAACAGAAAGTGTAATGAAAAAACTTTCTTAAAAGTCATATCGAAATTGATTCTCTTCTTTTTTGCATTTCACCTTTGCTGTAGCTCTTTTCCCAGTCTAGTATTCTAATAAACCTCTTTCTTCACTATGAATACACTGTAAAAAAAAAACTCGTAAAAAAAAATTGGTAAATGACTGGCAGCTACGGCTGCCAAACAAAAACCGTAAAATATCTTAATTGAAATAAAGTGCAAAAACAATAATTTTACAAAAATTTCCAATAAAGGTTTTACAGAAAAAAAATTTATTTGAGAGATTTTTCCTTGTTTCAATTATGATATTTTACTTTAATTTTACGTTTTTTGTTTGGCAGCCATAGCTGCCAGTCATTTACCATTTTTTACGGGACTTTTTTTTCAGTGTAAAACCCTTATTTTACTTTCTTTTTTTTTTCTGGTTTCAATTACGATAATTTACTTTATTTTAAGGTTTTTGTTTGTCATTTGACCCTTTTTTTACAGGACATTTTTTTACAATGTAAAACCCGTATTTTACAGATTTTTCCTAGATTATTATAATGAAAGTGTTACACCCTGATAAAGGGGGAAAATTGACATTAATAAATGAAGACACGGACTCGTGCTGTTGTTTCTGCGTCAGTCTGTATTGGCTGTGTGATGTCTCTTTCATCAACAGATATTACTTGAATAACAGAATAAATGAATACATCAGTACATTAAATCACATCAATGTGTCTGAAGCCAATAATACAAATACATCACTTCTTCTATAACATTCATAACTCTTTCAACTGCAAAATGAGTTATTCCCTTGTGATGATAGCAATACAGTTCTTTTGTGTTCAATATCAGTTGATTCTTCAGTAACGATTCAGAATGAGAAAACAATTCAGAGTTCCAACTCGATAAAACACTATTTCAACAATCCATTATAAAACACTGAACTCATTATGAAATACACAAAAAACGAGCTTCATTACGCATAACATTCACTTTCAATTGACATTTTACAAATATACCCTTCTGTTCCACTTAAACCACTGTGAGATACGTCTCATTTAGTTTTCTCCACCCTAATGTTTAGCATGTTAAGCATGCCGATTAGCATAGGTATCATTAGTCTTTGTTTGGATCAAACCCCATGCTTTCGCATATATTCACGGAAATAACCAGTCCTATATCGCTTTAACTCATTATGAAAATACACTGTTATGTATTTCATACCTGATAAAGGGGGAAAATAGACATTAATAAATGAAGACACGGACTCGTGCTGTTGTCTCTGCGTCAGTCTGTATTGGCTGTGACGCACAGCACAGCTCGCGTCAGCCACAACCTGCAACCTTCCTTTGACCCCTAGTGGACACTCCAAAAATTACACTTAAATCATATTGATTTTTATTCTTCTTTTTCTTTTTTATTACAGTTGAATCACATTGATTCCGTCATTTATATGATCATTTTGATCTTTGATCCTTTTAACCTCTACACACTCCCCCTCAAAATTTAGATGGCGTCCCGACATCTTGAAATGCACAATTTTTTTAAAAATCTTATTAATTTTCCTTCAACATGGGCTATTCTGCTTTTACTATATCAATGTTTTCTTAGCCTGCATTATGCCACAGTCTATCTCTGATATCCGTACATAAGATATGGGTAGGGATTATAAAATGGCACTGGACTTGGCCATGGTGGAAGTGCTTGCTGTCCAAGGTAAGACATATTCTGATACTGCTGAACTTCACCCCTACAGCTTGTATTATAGCAGGTGGTGGTTCCGAGGTGATCATAAGTGAACCGTCGAGGGGCTCTTCTTTCTCTCTGTGGTCTTGGATGTCTCTCATCTACCGTGGAATCATTGCATGGCTCAAGTGATACTGTGTGCTCAACTTCAATCCGTTCCTCTTCACGGTGCCCTGTCACTAATGGGTCCTCTACTTGAATCAGCTCTTCATCACCATCTTCACCTGGGCGTTCTTCATGTGAAAGCTCAACAGTGTCCACTCTTTCTCCTACATCCTCACCATCCTTGGTCTGCCCGGCCAGTCCACTTGTCTCCCTTTCTAACTCATCAGGATCTCCGTCACTTCCTTCTCCACGGTACTGCTGCTGGTTTGGTGAGTAATAAAGACAGAACTCGTCCTCGTCCTCTTCTTCATCTTCATTACAGAACTCGTCCTCATCCTCTTCTTCATCTTCATTAGATTTTACAGTATCATTTCTCTTCTGCTTTGTCATCTTTTTTTCTAAATAAGCAGCTGTGTCAGATTGCCCTTCCATTGGCAGGAGATCACATGACAGCAAGAGGTTACGGTGCAGGATCCTAGACCTTCCCTTTCCTACCTCTGGCTTCACTTCATAAATCGGGAGATCTTCTTTCATTTGCCTCACGACAGTATGGATGGTCTCTTCCCAGTGGTTGCGCAATTTGCCCGTGCCTCCTCTTGATGTCAGGTTTCTAACAAGTACACGGTCGCCCGGATACAAGGTTGTACTTCTCAGTTTTCTATCGTAGTGTTTTTTACTTCACACTGCAGCTTTTCCCACATTCTCTCTTGCTATTTTGTGTGCTTCTTGCATCAGTTCTCTCCATCTCTGCAGGTATTCCTGGTGGCTCACTGTTCCAG